GTGCATTTATTCAGTCGCAGAATGACTGAGAACGGGAGACGTTTCAGACGTGCTCTCCACTTCATTTCAGTGCCAGGCGCGAGTCAAAACGGAAACGGTACTGTGCTCACAGCGCATGCTCTTCAATTGCACGCACAAAGGAGCCGGCGCGCGCTGTAGCCTGTATCCTTTCACATCAAAGTGTGAAATAAACTACTTGCATGCAATGTCGTGGTCAGTTAAGTCATGAAGTTACTAAAAAGGTGATTAAAGCTGCCTTAAAACTGTGCATGCATGTAATATATTTTATATGAGTCACATTTAAGAACATGTCTCTGAAATGGTTTTCAAAACTGTCCTGGAGCCCAGCACTGTCTCACTCATCTAACACACCCGATTTAACTCGTCAGCTCATTAATAGTCACTTTAAGACCTGAAGTGGGTCAGAAAAGGTAAAAAGAGTTGAGAGAAAATATGATGTGTGTCAGATCCGCATCACGTTCAGCAGCGGCAGCTCTTAAAGAAATAACAGCCAAAATAACCTAATAGCCAGCTGCTGTAATGTCTATTAATCAAAGGACAAAGAAAAAAAGAAGAAAAAATTACTTTTATAGCTTTAAGGATTCATCTATATTTAATTTAGAGTTTGATAACTTCAATTTCAATTTCTGTATATTTCTGCTGAAGGGCACAGGTAAATATGACATTTATTATAATGGGTTTATATGAAGATTGTTTTAAGTTCACTTAAATTAGAAGTTATTTTTTAAAGTCTAATAAATGTTCAAATTGATAGCTCTCATACTGTAATGTGGAATGGCTAGTCATTGGTTAAATATTGGGGGGGGGGCAATTTTATAGAGACATCAGTATTGGTCATTGATACTGGCCTTCAGTCATAAAAAAGATGCCATTAAGCAAATATTAAAAAATATACTGTCTTTATGTTGTTTGTACATTAATTTGAAGATTGAATGTGAAATTATTGCAATATAAAAGTATATTTAAAAACTTTAATGTTAGGTGGGATTAATCACGATTTCAGAAAAATGTGCGATTAATTAGTAAAAAAAATTTAATCGATTGACAGCACTATATATATATATATATACACACTCAATAATACATACATGCACAAATATATATACACACACAGAGAGAGAGAGAGAGAGATGATGTCAGTAGAAAATGACAATTATCATGTATTATTCATGAAGTCTCATTACAAATGCATTCAAACAAATTAGTTGACAAAATGTTTACAAACTGAATTACATGAGCTCATTTTAATTAATTACAATGAACAAGCCATTGTGTCATTAAAAACTATAAATTGCCATATTCCGTTTCACAAATAAACACATAGATTGCACAACTGCACTCTTTCTTCACTCTTTACACTCTTTACTTTAAGTGTGAATCATACATGCACTACAGATTGTCTCATTATTTTAGAATGACTCATTATTTTCAGCTTCACCATGCATGCGTGTATGCATGTCTGTGTTTACTCAGCCCCGAAGACGTCAACAGAAGTTCAGTAGGGAAAAGAGGCAAGTATTAGTCACTCACCACTTAAGGAAATGGACTCTTTTGTTCCCCTGAAGCACGACAAAACCGAACGGGGTGAAGGCGAGGAAAGCTGGGTTACCAGATACATCCTGTGATGAACAACAACAGAGGAGGACCACATCACCTTCATTTCTCAATAAGCAGACATTGAGCAGGAAGACTCAATACAGCACAACATAGAAGTGATCATAACAATCGAACACTCATACTTTTGTTTTCAGGGTTGCTTAATCTAATGTTCTGCAGCAAAATGGGCAGTTTTGGGCTTTTACTGTTGAGATTACTGGCAATAGACATTTCACAAACTGGAGACAAAAAAAAAACCCTCACTGTAGGGAGTACGTTTCTTAGTACACTATTTTAATGGCCTTGTTTCAAGCTGCAATTTCCCCATTCATTTTCTATAAATCTGCAGAATATATACAAAGATGTAATGAAATAAACAACAGCGAAACAGTATATAAAACTATTGACTATAAATTCATGAACTTAAGTCTGTTGCTATAAGCATTCTTATCAAAAGCTTGCAGTGGTATGATTTTTAATGTTTCTGAAAGAAGTCTCTTATGCTCAATAAGGCTCCATTTATTTCAACAAAGGCAAAAAAACACCTGAAATATCGCACTATATTATTACATTTTGAAATAACGGTTTCTATTTTAATATATATTAAAATGTAATTCCTGTGATGGCAAAGCTGAATTTTCAGCCTTTAAGATCACATAATCTTTCAGAAAATCATTCTAACATGCTGATTTGCTGCTCAAAGATTTCATTTCTTACTATAAGTGGTGAAAACAGTTGTGCTGCTTAAAATTGTATGGACACTGTGATAACGAACAGCAAAAGAACAGCATTTATTTGAAATATAAATCCTTTGTAACATAATTATTGTCTTAATTGTCACTTTTGATCTCTCACCAGGAACTAAGTAATTAAACTTTTTTTTAATATGAAGTCATAAAATAACACTGACTTGTGGCTTCTAGAGACTTGCAGCCATCTAAATGGGAATCTTTTCTGTGTTTCCTGAACATTCTGGCATTATAAAAGGGCACTTGGTTTATAAAACTTTGAGAAACTTTTACACAATACACAATAGCTTTTGGATGCAAGCTGTAAATGTGTCAGATAGAGTCGTCTAACCTTGCACGGATGAGGATCCACGCCGTATGTTTCAAGCATTTCTGCTTTCTGCAGGAACTTCAGCTCAGCTGTTTCTGGAGTTTGACCTCTGCAAAACAACACATGAAAACACCATCTGTGTCATTCAATGGTGGAACAACCACAGCAACAGCACAGCAGAGTCACCTAATTACATTTCAGAACTGATACACTGGTGCCATCGGTATTGGACTTAATCCACATTCCAGTGGTTTTGTAGTCAACATATCCTGCAAAGTGGAAAATTGCTATAACTTAAAAAAAGGCATCTGAAACATAATGCTAATTTGAATATGAACAAATGCATCTATTTTGACACTTTACACTTGAACGACATTGATTAGCGGCCACTAAATAAGAAAGCAAAACCAAACCAACCAGACGGTTCAAGTATCATCACTCCAGGAAACCTCTTACCAATTCATATTTTATTCAGCACTGTCCATTTAACATTCAAGACCTTAATGTAACAAGACAGCCTGGCTTGTATTTCAATGCAAATCAAAGAAGAAAAGCGACCCTTAACACTGAGACTCGAGGACTGATTTACTGGATCATTTTGGAGCATCGCTCTACATTCCCAATATAGTTTCCATAATAAGACTGAAGGGTCGGCTGTGGTTATAGAACAGTCAGACCACAAGAGGGCAGCAGTAATCATGCGCCTGTTTGGTGGATCATCTAGTTTGGTGTGACCATAAATTCCAAAGTGTCCAAAGTGTGCCGTCCATATAAGAATAGTCAACTGCTTCTAAAGACAATTTACAATCCTGCAAGTAATTAATAGACTAAATCCATCACTAAACCCATGATTTTGGCAGTTTAAAGTGTATCATTTGTTGGGCTATTATAGTTGGACTTGCTCATGTAAACTTGGAAAGAAAGTACTGCTTGGTCAATGATGGCCTACGGATTTGTGCCATATTAAAAAGACATCAGATCTGACCTACAATACTGAGGGCCAAGACTTCACACAAATGAATGACACATTGTGTGATCGAGTGTGTGAATGCATCTTTGTGAGAGAAATCAGAGGCGGACAAAGTACTCAACTCCATTACTTGAGTGAAAGTACAGATACCGCTGGTCAAACATTACTCCATTACAAGTAAAAGTTGTAAAGACATATTTTTACTTAAGTAAAAGTACAGAAGTACTTGCTTTTAAAAGTACTTAAGTACCAAAAGTAAATTTCCTTTTTTATGTCAATGCACTGTTTTATTGTTGTATGTAATACTTGCAATACTCCTGAAGTAACTTAGAATACATTACACCTACTGAATACACTGACTAGCTTGTAGTATCTTTGGAATAAAGAGCTTTTAGAATGTTAAAAACCTATAGGGAAAAAAAAAAAAAAACATAAATAAATAAATAAATATATATATTAGTGATGCGCGGATGAGCTAAAACGTCACCCGAATCCGCAGCTTCAAATAAAAATACTCAAGTAAATGTACTTAGTTACTGTCCGCCTCTAAGAGAAATAAACAAAAAGATAAAAGAATCATTTCAGCACCTCAAATGAGTGCACAAGGTCAACTAAACAGGGCCCGGTTCCCCGATAACGCTCACTCTTAGCGCGCTAAGAAGACTCGAAAGATATATCTTACCAAAGTTGTCTCTGTGTGCAATGAATTTATTTAATACACAAGGGGGAAGTCGTGGCCTAATGGTTAGAGAGTCGGACTCGCAACCCAAAGGTTGCGGGTTCGAGTCTCGTACCGGCAGGGATTGTAGGTGGGGGGAGTGAATGTGACTGAGGTACCCTTGAGCAAGGCACTGAACCCCCAACTGCTCCCCGGGTGCCGCAGCTAAAAAATGGCTGCCCACTGCTCCGGGTGTGTGTTCACGGTGTGTGTGTGTTCACTGCTGTGTGTGTGCACTTTGTGAATTACTGAAATAAATGAACTTTTCCACGACATTCTAATTTATTGAGATGCACCTGTACATACAGGCTAACAATGGGATGAAGGCATTAAAAACAAAATCTTGTGCAAAAAATCTAACTTTGTGATAAAATTCTACAAGGTTAACTATAAGTTAAATATTTATGGTTAAATAAGGATAAATATGTTAATTTCTACACGCAATACCCTTCAAAAGTTAGGGGTCAGTAATTTAAATAGCATGGTTTCCACAAAAACAAAGCAGAACGGCTTTTTTTAACACTAATAATAATAAGAAATGTTTCTTGAGCAGCAAATCAGCATATTAGAATGATTTCTGAAGGATCATGTGACACTGAAGACTGGAGTAATGATGCTGAAAATTCTTAAAATCTCAGTCACAAAAATCACAGTAATAAATTACTTTCTAAAATATATATTCAAATACAAAATTAGTTATTTTAAATTATAATAATATTTTTAAAATGACTGTTTTACCACATTTTTGTAATAAAAGCAGTTTTAGAGAACATGGAAAAACCTTACAGAAAAATTTAACAGACCCAAACTTTTGAATGGTAGAGTATCTTAATAAATTTTCAACATTTTAAGTTGCATAAATTAACAGTAATGTATTAAATACGAACATCAATTAATAATAAACAATAGCATGTTTATAAAAAAAAAATGTTGTTCATTGTAGTTCATGACACCCAATGCCTTAACTAATGTAAATCTAAATAAGAAAATCTGATAGCAGATAACAGAAATGTACAGAAATATACAAAAAGCAGAGAGAAGGGAATTCTTAAGAGACATTTCCATAATTCCTGAGCCATAAATCAAGAAAAAGGAAGGGAAAGGTTACACATACATTAACTCGGTCTTGTGAATCTCTGCAATCCTTCTTTCCAGCTTCTCCGAGTGCTTGGGGAAGAACTGGAACTTTGAGCTGTAGCCCTCTGGATGCTTTCCTGGGTCGTAGTCTCCAATCTCAGCTGCAAAGTAGTCATAAAAATCAATCTTTCATCATGCTACCATTCATAGAGTCCAACCTCAGCAGTAAAGCAGACACATAAATCAATCTTTCATCATGCAACCGTGTAACGCAGATGCATTTTAGTTGACATGTGGGCATGTTAACGTGTTGTCTTAATGAACATCCTCTGTGAGAGGAAGTGTTGGGAGCCATATGTTCTCTTTGTAGGCAGGATGTGGGGTTTTGTGGATTAGCATACAAGTAATAGCATTTTCAATATGCCGTTTGCTTCTGCACTTGGTACCCATAAGTCCTGACTATTGCTCTGTGCTCTGAGTCTGAAGTGATGGAACAGTGCATCTTTAATTCAAAAGGGTCGTCCAAAACATGCCCCTGACCAACCTGTCAAAGAACATTACTGTGCATCCTGCCCTCAGAGCCGCTATATTCCCTTCTCATGTGACTGAATCTCAAACATCTCTGTAGATTCGAAGTTCATCCATTTATTTATTCTAGGTTTGAAAATAATGTTGGAACTTCACGGACAAAAGTGTGCAAAATTAAATATCTATTTTTTTAAAGATTAAAAAAAATGATATCAGAAATAAATTAATATTTTTAAATTATGCAATAATTAAAATTAAATGATAATTTTGTGTCCTTAGAAGTACATTAAAGTATAGTATATACACTACAATTTTAAAGTTTGGGGCCAAAGTTGCATTTAATTTATCAAAAATACAGTAATATTGCTACTATTACAATTGAAAATAACTGTTTTCTATATCAGTTTGTTTAAAAATGTAATTTATTCCTGCAAAATACAGTAATATTGCTAATATTACAATTGAAAATAATTGTTTTCTATATCAGTTTGTCTTAAAATTTAATTTATTCATGCTAACAAAACAGAATTTTCAGCTGCCTTAATTCCAGTCTTCACTGTCACATGATCCTTCAGAAAACATCTAATATGTGACCTTGGAACACAAAAACACCCCACATAAACTTTCGGTCATGCTCAACATTTTTCTAATTTACAGTAGATCTCTATCTCTAAACCCTTTCAAGCCACAAGCTTTTGAAATCTTGATGTCAAAATCCAGCATTTTTCCAAAAATCCCTGGCGCCTAAAAGGTTAAGTGTCATTTTTTCAAAATTGACATTTATACATCATCTGAAAGCTGAATAAATAAGCTTTCCATTGATGTATGGTTTGTTAGGACAGGGCAATATTTGGTCATGCAAATATTTTTTGGGTGCAAAAAAAAAATCAAAATATTGAGAAAATCACCTTTAAAGTCGTCCAAATGAAGTCCTTAGCAATGCATATTACTAATCAAAAATGAAGTTTTGATATATTTACGGTAGGAAATTTACAAAATATCTTCATGGAACCTGATCTTTACTTAATATCCTAATGATTTTTGGCATAAAAGAAAAATCTATAATTTTGACCCATACAATGTATTTTTGGCTATTGCTACAAATATACCCCAGCGACTTAAGACTGGTTTTGTGGTCCAGGGTCACATATGCTGATGTGTGGCTCTACAAACGTTTCTTATTATAATCAATGTTGAAAACAGCTGGATTGCTTAATATTTCTGTGAAAACTATGATACATTTCTATTCAGGACTCCTTGAAGAATAGAAGTTGCATCCTTGTTGAATAAAATTATCCCAAACTTCTGAACGGTAGTCATCCCACAGATTTTATATTAGATATTCTAGGGTCACAGTTCATTCTACGTTACCTTGTAAGATGTAAGCTGCCAACATGGCAGCGTCAGACGTTTTGCAGAGCAGACGACCGTGGTACAGATCTCTTTTGATCTGCAGGAAGACGAGATACCTGCAACCAGGAGAAAATACCTCATGCATTCTATTATCCTTCACATTTTTGTTTGACTATGTAAATAAAATGTTAAATGTTAAACTATTTGTCTGTAATGATGGGACTTTGGGCTGATAATGACGGACACAGAGGTGCAATGTGAAATTTCCCAGTAGGAGAAAAAAATGTATGTGGATTCAACTCTCTCTCAAAACATGCTGAATATTTCTCTTTGATTTGGTTAAAATGAGCTCTTGGAATGAATTGAGAACAGGATTGTTGTTTTGGGAAGAGATGGCCTGAAGCAGACTGCTGTGTCAAAAGCTGTCAAGTTGGGGAAAAGAGAGACTTCGGCAGTCAAAAGAGTAAAAGAGCAAAAGAGGAAAGAGTAAATTCTACTGTTTGCTTTATGTGACGAAAAACTTCTTTTTGGCACTGTTACATAAAGACAAGAGCTTCCTCGTGCACCAGTGTCACATTTTCTATTCATAAATCAATCCAGTCCCAATCTGGTACTTGGCTCTTTTCACCTTCAGTGCAACAGATGTCCCATGAGTAAAGAGCGACATGCTTGTCTTTAACTTCTCAAAGTAGGCCAGCCCAGTTAGAGCTAATAGCTTTTCACTTAAGAGGCCATACGAGCTAAAAATGCAATTATGTTCCCTGAATTCTCTCTAGGTGACAGCAGCTAAATGGCAGTTTCTGTAGCCACCAGTCAATTTCTGGCCTACATATCGGCTTCCTTCTTTATCTGTAACCTGCCATTTATGGAAACACACTCTACGCGTCAGTGTCATTTGGTTCTGGAGAAGGACAGGCCAAATATAGGAACAGCTAAATGGCAAAGTATTGGGCTGAGATGCTTGTTTTTGCTCTGTGGAATATGCACTCTACTCAAGTTATCTTCCAATAATCCAACAATCACAGAAACTGGATACATATTACTAACACGAACATAATAATACTAAATCATCTCATTATAGTGAGATGTTATTATTAAGTGTCATTTTTATGCTTGTAAGTTTAAAATGTAAAGAAAAAGGGTAAAACATGATATAAATTATATTAAATATCAGTACAGTACATAAAAAGTATATATATTAAAAATAAAATAAAATTAATTAATATTGTTAAAATTAAGGAAAAATTAGGAAAATATATATTTTTTTAATGTTTTGTAAGATTTAAATAAAGACTTCAAAAAGTTGAATATCATATAATTTCAGACAGGTTTATATGTTGCTGCCTGAAATTCTTAAAGGTATTAATTACCAAAAACTTTATTCTATAAGACTTCACTAAGACATATTTATGAAAATAAGTTTAACATGAACTTTTATGCAGTATGTTGAAAGATGTTGATATGTCAAAAATATAGCATTATATCATTAAAATATATCATTAGCCATCATTTAGATATAACATGACAACTTACAATGCATGATGTGATGTGCTGCTTTGCTATGTTGCAAAGATGCAGTTTGGGCATGAGTGACTTGTTTGCCATGGAAATTAAGCTAATGACAAATTTGTGCATGGTGTTGAGCAATAATCTCGTTTTAAGACCTGAGAATTTCCAAACACGGAAAAACTCAGCATGGATTTACTGTGGAATTATGAGTGGCAGAAGAAAGCGCGGAGAGACAGAATCACTTTTTTCTCTCACATTTCCCAACAGCTGCGACACACTTGCTTGAGGTGGATACATTTCTTTCTCTTACAGGGAATATATGCTAATTTTTCCATTCACTCCAAATTATGTCCTTTTCTTTCAGATAATCCTTCTATTTCTCAGCCATATCCCTCATTAGTCTTTCTGCTCCTTCTGTCTACCTGCCTCTCTCTCATCTAATTTCCTGTCTTCAACTCTATGTTCATCCTCTTGTTTCACGTCTCTTTTCAGCTTCTCCTCTCATTTCAGCGTGAGTTATTGCTTTGTGTTCCCCACAAGCATTTCATTTCACAGTACAGTAAACACTAGCATCTCCCCCTACTCCACACATCAATCTATACCTGAGCACACTGCGAAGTGCCCATATGTCAAAGTATTTAATGTCTGCTACTTATATGCACTGTCGTTAATGCGGCCCCTCATTAGGTTATAAGAAGCACAGTATGCAAAGATCTCGTTTCAGGTCGAGTGTGTGAATTTCTGGGTGACCTCACTGCAGACTGATCGAGAGGGGATGAAAGAGGTGGAGAGAGACACTGTGATGCTGGCCAAGACTTTGCTTGCTAGAGGCTAATCATGTATCATTCAGAGGAATCTGTTAGGAGTCACTGACCATACATCTGTCCTTAGCGGTGAGTGAGAAACAAGCTTTGAATCTCGAGAGTAACAGCAAGATGAGAGTCATATAGGCACTTGTATATGTTTAGAGTGTTTTAAAAGGGGTCATGAACTGAGAAATCAAAATTCCCTTGATCTTCTGATATTTAAGAGGTCATTTTACTATAAAAAAGTATGTTTCAGACTTTCTCATTATTCTAAAAATAACTTGTATTGAAGCCAATCTGCCAAAATGACAGCTTGTGAAATGTATAACTCTATGATGTAATAGTGTGGATAAGCACCGCCTCCAAAGAAGATGATCAACACCTGCTTCTACATCACTGCCTGTTTAGCGCCACCCACCGATTTGTGCATGTAGTGTAAATAACGAGAGAGGCAAACGAAGGTCTACGCTGAAACTCAGTGGTGGACAGTAACGGAGTAGTTTTACTTCGTTACTGTACTTAAGTAAATTTTTCAAGTATCTGTACTTTACTGGAGTAGTTTTATTTTGAGTAACTTTTACTTTTACTTCACTAAATTCCAAAGCATAAGATCGTACTTTTTACTTCACTACATTTCATAAAACATATCGTTACTCCTTATAATATATCACGTGCTCCGACACGCAGAAGCGGTGTCTGATTCAAGAACGAACTGATTTACTCAAGTACTTGATTTGTGTACTTCGTCCACCACTGCTGAAACTAAACGATAAAGATGGCTCTTAAGACAACAAGATGCTGTACAGTGCCAAGTTGTGGAAAAACAGTCTTTTGCATTGCCTTCCTTCTGATCCCAACATTAGGAAAGAGTGGATTAATTATTTTTATTGAAGATCTAGACCATATCAGTAAAAACTTGGTCCTTTGTTCACTTAATTTAACCGCGGATTCGTTTACAGATAAGGCACAATTCGACACGGGATTTTCAAACAGATTGAAACTGAAAGACGATGCTGTGCCAACTATACTGGATCCGAAAGTAATGTCGCACCACACAAGTGTGAGTGAGTTTTTATTATGTGATCACTATTGTTTTGTCTGTTATTACAGATCATTTGTACTGATATGTCCACACATTTATGCGTTTTAACAGGAAATCACAGCAGTGTCCATCTGTGAAGGATGTAGGCTGTCAAACATATACAACTGTTAGCCAATCATAGTAGTGGGCGTTTACTTCCGAATCTACAATCCGCCACGCCTATTCAAACAGAGCACTTCGATGAGAGTCAAAACAGGACGAAAAATAGCCTATTACTTCTAAATTATGATGTTTTTTTATGTAAAAATCTTGCTAACATTACAAGTGGAGCTCAGACAACAAGCACTTAGTATGTTCTGACTAGTTGTTAGGATATCAGACAAAACGACGATTTTCTGACAGGATCTGGTGTCTGGAGCTGGATCTAATATTTCTGGCTTAGAGACTAACAATCACAGAGCTTATTTTCTGCAATAATCCAAAAGCCAATGGAAAAATCCTTTTGGATTTTTGGGCAAGGTAATAAGTGTGACATTAATTAATGGGTTGGCCAACAAAAGTACATCATCAATGCAGCACTCTATAGCAAACTAGCCATATTGGGCAAAAAGAAGCACAATGTTTCAAAGCCAGTATAAAGCAAAGTTGAATGGCTTTCTGGTGCTGCCAAACATCTGTTGTCGTTTGGTTTGTAATGCTTAATCAAAGCAGAGCTTTAGGCCTACGCTTAAAGGAATCCTATCCTTTTATGCGAGAAACTAAGCCAGCTCTGTAATCAGATGCCATTTAATCATGTGACTTAGGTACTGAATGCAAAAAGCAGAATCCTTTCATTGTGGCAGCTCATACCTGGTGATCTCCTCCTTTAGAGCAGCAGGATCTGGTGGGTAGAACTTTACCCGCAGACACATGGTGAATGGAGGTTGTGCTGTGTGGAGAAAATTAACATGGTTGAGAAACACTGCCTCAATCAGTAAACGTAATCTGATTTAGTACTTGCTGCCTTAATATAATACATATACACTGTGTACTGTAATGCCTTAATCAAAACATCTTTAAAAACAAGTTTACTTGAGAAGCAAGATTGCATCACACTTTACGCTGTTTTGCAATATACTTGTTTTCAGAGAATATATCCTGAATTAAGTTTATATTTCTTATCCCACTGACAATTTTTTTCCTGGTGTTTAAACATAGATCTAACACAATTTTGAGATGTTTATAATTAAAATAGCTTTAAACATCGATTAACACAATATTGAGAGGTTCATAACTAAAATTTCAGGAAACAATCTGACAGTGGGATAAGAAAAAAAAAGAAATTTAAGATATATTGCACTTTTTATACAGTAATTTGTAACTGTGTTTCAATACTATAATAAAATATTATTTTGGAGAATTAATACTAAAACTGAATTCTCAATGTTTATGCCTTATAGTTTCAATTGGACCCCAAAGTACAGATTATGCAGGTCAAACAATTATAAAATCTGCTGCTGCTAAATTTAACATTCAACAACTTTCAACAGATTACAGTTTCACATCTTCAGTCGGGAAATTAATGATTATTGAGTGCTTTGCTTGTTTATAATGAAAGTAAATTTTCATTCCATTGTTTCATAATTTCAACTGTCTATTTCTAAGGCTAAGAAATGTGTTTTGTTTTTTACTTTTAAGTAGCAAGTGCAATTAAATGTGGAAACTATTTTTTTTGCTTTTTTAATTTTTCTGTACATTCTACAATTATGTGAAAACAAACCTTATCTTACGCAGTTTTGCTTCACAGGTAGATGTATCTTGCTTCAAGGATGGAAAAAACAATCCTTAAGAAAGTTGTCTTTGCAGTAGTTTGTTTGAGATCAGAACCATACAAAGTGAGTGTTGAGTAAAGGCCTGTTCATACCAAAGACAATAACTATAATCATAACTACAAAACTGTGTGTTGGTCTGGATGCTAATATAAAAGTTTAACACAAGATTTCCAGACCCACTGCATGTCAGAACAACATCATCACTTCATCAGATGACAGCTCCTATTTGAGATTGCACCATTTCTAAATGTATAGTACCCATGAATCCCATTAGCATGCTTCATTACGGTCACCATAGTGCTGTTGTTCGTAATTGCTCCATTATGGCAGCTAGCACACTATAAATAAGATCTGACTGATGATACTTACATTTCATCTGCTTAGAAATTGACTTGGTGAACTCCAGCCAGTGCTAAAACAACAGAGGAGAGAGTTTTATTTCCACACGCACAAACGTATACTAACAGAGCACATGTACACACATATTACATCTATATTTCATCTAACACATAATTACACAGGAGCAGGTGGTCAGTGTGGGTAGATGTACAGAGATTTTATATCAGTATGAGTGTGAGATGGGGGCAGGGGAGATATATTAATAATTTCATCTCATTTCTTTCTTCTCCAGAGCGAAAGATTAGCACATCTTCGACGTCATGCTGAGATTCTATCACTGCTATTGTGTGCAGCCTCAGATAAGCCAAATCAGCCAAACTGAGCCATTGGATTTGAGAAAAAGTATATTTGGGTCTTAGTGCCAGTAGGCTAATGTCTAGAAATAGCATCAGGCTAGATTCGATTTCAGATTATAGTGATCTGAAAGCTTTTTGGTCAAAATTTTTCCTGACACATTATCGCATTCTGGACTGTCAGCTAATCTGTGCCATATTTTGCCAACTAGGAATATACTAAAGGGAATTGTGGGCACTCAGTAGACGCTAAGGTTGTCCCAGTGTGTCGTCTGCACAGCATCAGTTAGATGCCCTCATTATTATTTATGTCACTCAATGCGAAAAGCTCCCAAACGGGGTCAGTCAAAAAGACAGGCATGAAGAAACTCTAGAGTATGTGGACGTAAAGCTTGTGCGCTGTCAGGTTTGCACTTAGTGAACACAGATCAGCACAGATCTGTAATTCTAGAGATAGACAGTGTTTCCTTACAGGAGCTATACAGAATGTTCATCTAGAATCTTTAAATTTTTTTATATAATTTGAATCTTTTTTAATTAAAATTCAAAATATATATTTCACATTTACAAATATTAAAACATTTAATAATTTGTTAGTATAAAATTTATTTTTAACATCTGAAACTGAATTAAAGCTATAAAAAATTCATTAATTGAAATAAAGCTGAAATAAAATATTAGATTATATAACTATTGATGAAATTGACAAATATTAGATGAAAAACGTAAACCTACATTAGAAAAGTAGAAATTAGAAATTTTAGTAAAGTACTAAAATTGCTATAACGAAAACTAAAATAAAAATATTAGGCTAAACAGAAATTCCAAGTATTTAAACATTTTATTTTTTTGTTAATATAAAATGTCTTGTTTTAACATTTGAAGCAGTGTTGTTATTGTTAACTAAAACAACTAAAATAATTTCTGTTCATCGAAATAAAGCTGAACTAAGATAGATTAGATAATACAAATACTAAATGAAATAAACAAATATTAGATTAAAAATTAAAGTAGAAATTAGAAATGTTGCTTTGGCAACTGATTGATGTAAAATAAGTTGAAGGTGAAGTACTAAAATAACTAAAACTGAAATAAAAATAATTTAAAGCTAAATAGAAATACTAAAATTTGTAAAAATGACAAAAGTGCATAAAAATAACGAAATAAATGTTAAATAAAACCTAAAAATATAAAAATAAGTTAATTCAAAATATTAATACAATAATAAAATATGTAAAAATATATTTAAATAGATGTTTTAGCTAGCCTTTTCACAAAAAATACAACCACTGTCTATATTAAAGGGGTCATATGATGCTATTTAAATTTTTCCTTTCTCTTTGGAGTGTTACAAACTCTTGGTACATAAAGAATATCTGTAAAGTTGCAAAGATTTAGCAGCATCATATGACCCCTTTAATACAGTATTTTGTGATCAGCAACAGTATAGAAACCTTAAGAACAATTCTAGTACCTCTAACAGTATTTCTAAACTTAGATTCATTTGATATTTACATTTTGGAAGCAAAGTGGCAATTCTGTACGTTTACACATACTGATATATTGATTACAGGCATGAAACATGCATGGCATTTTCTTACAGTATAGGGCCACTGGAAGGTTAGTCTGTTCCTCATATGCCTTCAGAAAACTTTGTTCATATTAACTTCACTGCACTGAAATTAACATGGAGAACATGCTCTCCCTTTGCTTATTGCAGATACATGTTTGTAAGAACATGACATAAATAATGATAGATTTTTTTTTTTTGTGCGAACTGGCCCTTTAAAGCAAAAACTATTAATCTGAGCCACATAATGGTCGGAGGGCCTGCCCTCAAATGATTTACAGTTTTCAAGCCTATCCTTCTAGAAGGTTCATTCCATCAATCATCAGTTCTGTCTCTTTCAGTGACACTCCCTGATTACTCCAGAATGACCCTCGAAGGATCAATACAAACACAGACCACCCATAACACACATGAATTCATCACTTATTAGGCATCACAATTCACAACCAATACGCTCTAAGAAATGAAAGGCACTTTGAGTATCCTGGCAGATGCAGCTTTCTCCTAATAAAAAGGCTGTGGGCACGAATGCTGAGATGATGAATTGGTGCTCTGCATTACCGTTGACCTTGGACTGTTTGACACAAGCCACATGGTGGGACACTCACCCGTTGCTTATCCGGATCGACATATCTAATGCCAAAATAGTCCTTCTCCAGCAGGTTTAGATGGTGGCAGATGAGGTCGAACAAATACTGGCCTTTGGCATCCCTCTGAAAGACAAAGAGAAGAACAAATGATCAATAGGGCAGAAGTTTATTATTTGTCTGGGTACGTTTTTTATTTTTGGACCAAAGAAAAATGTGGAAGAACTGAAGAAGAGCAGCCAAATAGAACTAAAATTTAGTGATTTGGGGCTGAGGAGGAAAGCATAGGATTTTAATTACTATTACTCTGACATCAATTCCTTAAGACTCCTATGAAGAGATTCTGTATATCCAATATTAATGCAAAGAGAGTCTTGCGATTTCCATTTCTTTCTCATGACCTTTTCTAGTCATATTATAAGATTTTTTTTTAAGTAATTCCAGAGACTGTTGATGTACTTCCATTTCTACTTGTGCCAGGTATCAAGTCGATATTAGTGTTTAGTGTACATGTCTCCAATAAAACAAACAGACTGATTTTATCAAGGTGACGTTCAGCATGTTTTACTCTACAAAAACCATCATCTAGCCAATTAAATATTTTAAAGCAGAGCAGAACTAAAACCATTTCAATTCCCTATAGAAATTTCCATGAATTTTTAAATGTATCACTCATTTCCTTGACTTTTCCAAGCCTGGAAATCACACATGACTGTAGAAACCTGAGAGTCTGTCCACATAAATGCACAAGAAGAAACAGATGAGAAAGTCAATAGTTTAACAGTTTGTATGTGAGATCAAATGGTAGAGTCTCCATGTACAGTACTATTTCATCATTATTTTGTTACACTTAATAAGTAATTTGCAAAGGGACACAAATTCTATACTATGTTCTTAGTTCTTTCATAGTCCCACTGTACAAGTCTAAACTACTCCATATCTGTTTAACAGTTCAACTCTTCATACCTAGAGAAAATGAGTTGGGAGAAAGAAATAAGATTCCATAAACCTGAAGTCACTTTTTCTTTCTCAGCCCACCTCTAATACCACACTCATTTGCATTCGGAATCCATTTTCCCTCAAACTAACAATATCACAGCCTTTCGCTTTTGCAGTTTTTTATTTTTTTTCTGGAATTGTATGCGATCAGAGTTTGAATTGCAAACCAAAACAATTCACCCTCAGTAGCAAGTCTTCAGGCATGAGTTATTTATTCTGGATTAAGACTTACTGTAAGGACTTGGCAAGCCATATACATCCAAGACAACTCATTTTGTTACACTGAGCTTGGGACAGTATGCGTAAAGTAAATGTTCAGTCAAAGGTATTACAGCTGATCAGTGAGAATCACAAGAATTAAACTACTTTGCAATGAAAAGTCAAATTTGCATTTCTTTGAAATTTCAGGTTGCTCTTTTAACTGAATAGTTGCCCCTGTGAATCATTGCTTACATGCAACCTAATAATCTGTTCATAATTTGACTGCTAGCTTAATCTGAATGATATGGATCCGAATGGTGGTGTAGATCTTACAGAATCTATTAAAGGAATAATTCACTCAAAAGAATTGTTGAAAAAAGTTATTTTTCTTTTCTTTTCTTTGTTTCTGGACCTTGAACGTGGTAGTTGTGTTACTGTCTATGGAGGGTCAGAAAGCTCTCGGATTTCATTGAAAATATCTTAATTTGTGTTCCGAAGATGAACAAAGGTCTTACAGGTTTGGAACAACATGAGGGTGAGTAATTAATGACAGAATATTCAGTTTTGGGTGAACTATCCCTTTAAAATAATACATTTATTCAGGTGGATGAGAATCTGTAATTAAGCACAGTCAGTAATAGAGCTTAGTCAGGGTTAGTGTTGGGCGATATGCTCAATTTTCATATCGTCCTATCATCAGCCTGTGAGATCGCCCATACACGATATTGTCGTGCTAATTTATGTAATTATTTACTTAGTTTCATTGCGAGAAAGTGAACCAACTCCAGCGTAAGGCTAAAAGCAGCCTAATGTTTTTAATATGACTGAATTTGTATTTAACATGATAACAAATTAATAGAAACATCGTAAGTTACTAATTATAATGGTTAAATTTCCTCAGTTATTCAAAAAGCAGCTACAGAAAACGAGCAAACATTACATTACCAAAGAACATCATCACAAGCTCAGTCTAGCCCGAGTTTATGCACTTTAAAAACGCTGAACAACAGTTCTGTTGCGCTGAACAACAGAACTCCGCTGTTTCAGTGATGACTCATCTGAACGCATCTGATTGGCCATTGCATTCATAAGCTCAGCATAATCGTGTGTGATTGGTTAGAACGCGCAATACTGTAAAAACGCGGAAAAAGAAATATAATGCAACAAATAAGCCCTGATATTAATTAGATAGTATTACTAGCCTAATAATAATAATAATAATAATAATAATCGTCTTGCTATCGTCAAAGGCATCAGCCACAGGCGATATCTCTGTCTATCGTCGATACACGATACTATCGTCTATCGGCACAACCCTAGTCAGGGTAGCACCATATTTAATTTCTGACAGGAATGAAAACATAGCTGTGAGGGATAGAAGTACAGTGCATTCAATGCATTATTCATCTGCCAAAACATCTTTCCCAAAATAACTTTCAGTAGACACAAACGTCACAAACCAGTTTTGAAAGTTGTGTTTTGTGAAAATTACATGATTCTAGACCTTATACAGCGCACAAGCCATTCTAAAGACTACATTTACCCCTCACAGCCTTGTTGTTATCAACATAAATTTCAATATGGCGTCTAACCTGGTCTACAGAAAGAGCTGAGGTGAACGGTCACTCCGCAGCTTCTCCAGCAAGCAGGATGTGTGATGTACCTCTCAATCACAAAACCTCTGGAAAGCCTTTAATGATGCTTACATAACGAGGTCAGCTAGCAGACAAGCAACACATTCAGTCAATTTTTTTTTCAGGCCCTTGTGTGGAGTATGAAAAGGGAAAAATATAAAAGGTCAAACACAAAATACAGCATTTTCATCAGCGCAAACAGCTTTGAAAGCCATTTCTAGTTCATAAATGCTGTTATGGGGGAGCCATTTCTGACATAATAAAGCATCTGAACTTACTAATGTAAGGCAAGGAGAAGGGCAGAAGAGACTCACGCTGGTTTGTTTACTCTTGGAAATAATTTTTCGTGTTTTAGAAGGAGCAAAAAACATGGGAAGAGTCATTCTGTAGCGATGCCTGAGTGGAGTGACCATCTGGCTGTGTGCACTGTGAGACACCCCAGCACTTAAGAGTGTCTTACACACATAAATATAGACATACACATACAGATATGGAGCCTGATATCATATTCCGCACAAAAATTGTCAAAAGACACATTCCAGTTCTCATCTCAAGTTCTCTGTGTAACAATTATGAAAATCCTTCAGTAGAAAATTTTGATGGTTCTATTTTGGGTAAATGAGCAGATGGAGGGCAGCGGACCATGAGCGCATGCGTCTGGCTGATGCCAAATAGAACATTCTGTGGGTGTCTAGAGACGGCTGGATAGCTGTATAACACACAGCCTTCACACAGGGCTGCTGGAACCCTATAAGACTGCCAGAGGGGACAAAACAGGAGAAAGAGGTGCCCCTATTTGCAAACAGGTCAGACCACCCCCGCAGAGATGCAGAGATGTACAAATCTCAGCAAGCAGATAAGGTGAATATTTATTATTATCATCAATGTGAGTAATAATAATAATATTATTAATAATAATAATAATATATAGTACTTTTTTAGACTTTATAATAATAATAAAAAAATCATAAAAAAATAAATCAATAATAATAAATATCTAATAAATATTACTACTTCAACTATTATATGTATTATTATTAGTACTAGTATTATTAGTATTATTATATTTAAGAAATCCAATAAAATTATTATTAAATTATTGTTAATAATAATAATAATAATAATATGTGACCTGGACCACAAAACCAGTCATAAGGGTCAATTTTGTTGAATTAAAGCTGAATAAATAAGCTTTCCATTGATGAATGGTTTGTTAGGATAGGACAATATTTGGCTGAGATAC